TCCCCCATGCACCCAGCCGCCGAAACAAAAACAACTCACCCCACCCCCAGTGCCGCCCGACTGAACCTCCCCAAAAAAACCCTGAGCGCCCCCCTGCCACCCCAAGATTGGCTGCCCCTTACCAGGTGCCGCCCCAAGCACATGCTTGGTCAGCTGGTGCCTGGAGCCGGCCCTGGCTATGGCTCCAGTGATGCGAAGGTGTGGTGTGTTGGCATAATTGGCTATCTGGGAAATCCCCGAGTGGCATACAGCCAATACAGCAGCTCGACACTGACTCCCTCTCTGCACTCTTCCAGGCTGATACTCTGGAACTGTGTGGAGAGAGGCTGGCGACACCATTTTTACACCTCCTGGGGGCTGAGAAACCCACTCCCTTTCCACTAACTAAGCAATAAGAATCTGCACCTGCAATATAGCTGGATCAAAGTTGGCTTGAGTATGTCTACACACGCTGCAATTACACTTCCTGATTGCAATGTAGACAAGCCTGCATGTCCAGTGCCTAGCACAAGGGAATTGGGGCCTCTAGGGAATGATGCTGACATTTGTGTGTGCTTGTACAATTTTGTTAGTAACAATCACACAGCATTTGAAGAGCATCTACACAGTGGTCCCACACAGGCTGGCATACAGGAAGGATTTGTATAGACCAGGGTAGGACATCATGAGATCTGCAATTATGAAGACACAGTGGCTGCAATTCCTGCCCATAGAGTTGTGTGAGGTCTTGATGCAGGGCAAATGTTCCTGGCCCTGGGTTGCAGATGAATTTTTCCCCCAGCACACTTCACCTGCATAAAGACTGAGATGGACACCACTGGCTTATGAAGTGAATTTGCCTTACATGAATAAACTGTACGACCAGCTGTGTTAGTCATTCAGCACCAAGGGATTCCCTAGGCAATGTGCAGAGGTCTCCAAACGTGTGGAATGAAAGAAGTTAAGTTGAACAAAGGACTATAATATGTATGCATGCAATAGTGGAAGTGGGTATTTAAAGAGAATATGTTGCCTCCTAAACCTGTTGGGAGCTGAAAAGAAACTTAAGTCATATTAAAAATAACATAATGGATAAACTGTCTCCTTAGATACAAGGATGATTTCTGGGCAGGTGAGAAGTAGAGGCAGGATCCACAAAGGGACTTAGGTGTTGCAACCCTCAGCATCGCAGTGCTTAACTTTTAGGTACTGAAAATCACAGGAATAACACTGCGATCCACAAAGCCAAGTTAGGCCCTTGGGCTCCCTATACAATGAATGGGGAAAGATAGAAGCCTAAGAATGGGAACCACAAAAGCCAGTATGCTAGGTAGGAAGTCACCTATGCTAGCCAATGGGAGATGCAGACAACAGGGATGTGTTCTAAACCCTGCTCCTCTCTTAGAGATAGGTGCCTATCTCCACTAGTGATCCACACACAGAAACCAGCCACCTGGAGTCAGGTGGCTTAGGTGTTTACTTGTGGTAATGAGTTAGGTGCCTGCGTTACTCCATATAAAATGGCTGGAAAAGGGGGCAGTGGTGCTCACCTTACTTACAACATGTAGCCCACTGGTTGAGCACTCACCTGGAGATGGGCAATCCAGGTTCAAGTCCCCACTCTGCCAGAAAGAGAGAAAGGATTTGAACAGAGGTCTCCCACCTTTCAGGTAGGTGCTCTAGCCACCCAGCTACGGATTCTGATGGTGGTGGACTCCCTCAATCTCTCCTGTTGAAGCTGTTCTACTGTGGACAAATAACGAGAGAGTCATTGGAGCAGGAGGATTGGATCCTGGGTCTCCCCTCCTCCCAGGTGGATGCCCTAACCACTGGGCTCTCTCTTTCTCTCTGGCCCAGTGACTATTCAAGTATTTATCCACAGTGGAACAGTTATTGGCCTCAGATTAGGCTTTGCATGTGACTTAGACAGCTGAATGCCTGTCTTCCCCTGATTCATGAATCACTCTGGGGCTTACACAGTATAGGCACCTGGGCACCTAAAGGGAGGCAGCAGTGCATATGCCCCAGGGTCGAATACTTGGGCACCTAGGGAACTTTTACAGAAGGAAGTTAGATGATGAGTGAGCTTAGGCACCCACAGGGTTAGGTGGCAGCCAAGCAGGAGTTTCATGAATCACAGTGGTGCCGGGCACTGAGACACAGGCACCTAACTCTGGAGTTTAAGCATCTAAGTTGCTTCCTGGATCACACCCTTAGGTTTCTTATACAAAGAAGGAGAAGTTTGGCTCACACTGAGATATTTCTTTAGGGTTTGTTACAAACTGGGTGACTGGAAGACAGACAACCGCTACATTGCAAAAGTGAGAGCATTAGGCTGTGAGAGGACAAGTACCATTTTAATCTTTTTAGGGAAAGAATGAGTCTTCTTATATGTGTGTATAATGTGGAGCATGCTGTGGGTGCTAATTTAAATGATAACATTTTCATCAGTGATGTAGATAGAAGTACATATAAAATCACTGCTGATAAATGTGGGTGTGGGTGACACGAAGACTGGGAGAGTGGTAAATAATGAGGACAGGACAGTCATATAGAGTGCTCTGGATCACTCGTTAAACTGGGTCCAATTCAAACAAAATGTCTTTCAGTACAGCCAAATGCAAAGCTATATATCTAGAATCAGGGAATGCAGGTCATACCTACAGAATGGGGGACTGTATCTTGGAAAGACATGATTCAAAAGAGGATTTAAGGGTCACAGTGGACAAACCTGAACATGAGCTCCTAAAGCAATGGTGTGTCAATTGGACATTGTGAGGGGGTGAACCCCATCATGGGCGAGAAAAGATTAAGGACTAGTTAGGCACATTCACTCCACCGACCAGAGGCTGTTGGAAGCTAGAGGCCTCAGGAAGACTTAGGACAGGACTTGACACCAGAGCTGGGGAAAAGCAGTGAAACCGTTGGAACCCAGGGCCCAGAAGATAGGTGGATACTTTGGACTCTGCTTGGACATTTTGTTACCCTAGAAGGGATTTGGCACAATGGAACTTCCCACCACAAGAGTAAAGCTTGTCTGTATGTGAGATAGAGCCTTCTTCTCAGCCAGAGAGCTGGGTGGTGTGCAAGATGGCCTGAAGGGGACACTGGATATGAAAACTCCTGCTATATTGAGGGGGCACTCTTGAGGTGAGAATGCACCATTACAGATGTATAATAAAAGGAGTAGAGAGGAGGTGATTTTACACCTGTACATGGTGTTGGTGAGACCAATCCTGGAATTCTGTGTCAAATTCTAATGACCACATTTTAAAAAGATTATTGAAAAATTGCAGAGTGCAGAAAAGAGCCACAAAATGATTTGAGAGCTGGAGAAAATGCCTGACAGTGAGAGACTTATAGAGTTCAGTCTGTTTAGTTTATCAAAAAGAGGATTAAGAGGTGACTAAATTACAGTGCATAAGTACCTTCATGGGGAGAAAATGCCCAGCTGTAAGGGGCTCTTTAATCTAGTGGATAAAGGCAGAACAAGGACCAATGACTGGAAACTGAAGCGAGAGAAATTCAAATTAGAAATTAGGCATATATTTTTAACAATGAGGGTGATTAACAACTGGAACAAACTACCCCGGGAACTCGGAACATAGAGGATTCTCCAACTCCTGATGTCTTCAAATCTAGGCTGGATGCTTTTCTGAAAGATATTCTATAGCCAAGCACAAGTTACTGGACTAACACGGGGGTAAAGTGAGTGAAGTTTAGTTACCTGTGATATGCAGGAAGTCAGATTAGATGATCTCATGCTCCCTTTGGCCTTAAACTCTACCTGAGAATCTATTTATTATTAATATATTATACATTATTTTGTAACTTAAACTTAAAGCCTCACTAAGCTTTCTGTAATACAAGCAGATGGGAGCCTATTGTACCTGTCTTTCTAGATTATGATTTCTTCTCTCTCTTTCTATAGTTTGCTTTTATTTATGAGAATCAGAACTGGATCATAAATCCCGTTTGTTGGAGGCAATCACTAACAGGTGCCTTATAGAGAAACCATTGTCTGACCTCAGGGAAGTAGAAGGAGAACTAGGTAACAGCTTGAATACAAGATCAGAGACAAAGAGGGTTATGATCTCCTTCCTCACGACATTCAGCAAAGAGGCTAGGCAGGTCCAGTCCAGGCATGAGGAGCATCCAAATGATCTGAAATATATTAATCATGGCAAAAAATCTGCTGGACTAAAGTGTGTGGCTGCTGATTATTGCTGTGCTGACTGTTCCAGTGATCATCCCTAATGTCAACTTTTTATTGTGTTGAATTTACTCTTTCTGGAAAAATCCAATAAAATGAAAATATGAATTTATATTTTTAAATGGAAGGCACTAAATATAGAAAATACCTTACCTCTGCGATTAACAGGGTCCTTAGCTACATATGCAACATAGTCTGTTGTATCCTGTAAAAAATGGAGATATATATATATATAATGAATTTGCTTTTGCACTGTAACAAAAGAGCAGAGCATATCACATAAGTATTTCCCATGAAGTGATAGTCTGGTGGTGAGGGTGGGACAGATAGCTAACCCACCATTTTACACACAGCAATATGACTGAGTACTTCCTCTGTATGGAATCACTCTGAAGGCCATGTTCACAATATAGTTAACACTATGCCATCAATATCCACGTTTAAGCATGCTAGTCTGTAGCAGGCTTCCAGCATGGTTTCCCTGACCAGTGTGGATAGTTTACTCATGATATAAAACCATGCTACAGACTAACTCTCAGGTAAACCTAACACAAGGATGCAAATAAAATGGGAATAAGGAAAAATAAATTTTTATTTTACATGTCTTCCAGGCTACGTTTTTATGTTTTGTGACTACCTTTACCTGATAAATAAGGCTAGGGAATGCTGGCCAGATAAGCAAAATCCTTTTTAAAAAGCTTTTCCATCTTGCCCTTAAGCACAGCTAATGCTGGCATCTATTCAATTTGAATGTGGACAGGGCCTAACTATGCCCTGTTGAGCACCATATTAATATCCTGTTTGAACACCTGCAGCTCAGACAGCAAGCATGTGCAAAAGCAACTCTTGTTTTATTCCAAAAACATTTACAGGATTGGTTCTGATCCCACTCACTCTGGTTTCACTCCATTGACTTCTAAAGCATTACCCTTAATTTACACCATGCAAGGCCCTCTTCCAAAGCCCTCGAAATCAGTTAAAAGACTCACATTGACATCAGTGGCCTTTGGATGAGGCCCCAATTGAGAGAAGAATCAGGGTCTCGTCCAAGACACTCAATATCTAAAAGATTGCCTGAAGCCATGGGCGGTGGGTAGCATAGGCAGGGGAAGGCTGTGCCTCCCCAAACAGCCTGGTGTGGCCCCGCCCATGCTCCACCCTGAAACCCCCTCCTGCCTGCTTCCAGTTTCCTTCCTGCTCTTCTGTGGCCAAGAGGCTGGAGCCAATGTGCACAAGGCCCGGGGCTGGGGGCATTGGGGTTGGGGTGCTTCAGCTGTGCTGCTTGCATGCCCGGTGTGTTGGGGCTGCTCCGGCCTCACTGCCTGCTTGCTCAGCGCTGGGGCTGGAGCCGGGGACAATCCAAGGCTGGGGGCACTCCGGCCGCACTGTCTGCCCACCCGGTGCCCTGGGACTGTGGACACTCCAGCCCCACCGCCCACCCACCTGGCACACTGGGGCTTGGGGCGCACAGGGGGAGGCATCAACCATGGAGGGGGTGCTCCATGCTCCATTGGGGGAGCAGAAGAGGAGGGGTCGGGCCTCCGGCAGAGGGGGAGGGGCCAGAGGCTAGCCTCTCCCAACGGCACATTCACCTGCCACCCATGCCTGAAGCTCTGGCATGAAGACCATAGTTGACAACTATGGCACAATGGAACTTCCCACCACAAAAGTAAAGTTTGTCTGTATGGGAGATAGAGCCTTCTTGAGAGCCAGTCTAAGGGCAGGTCTTCACTACCCGCCGGATCAGCGGGTAGTGATCGATCTATCGGGGATCGATTTATCGTGTCTCGTCTTGACGTGGATAAATCGATCCCTGAATGCGCTCCCCAGTGACTCCAGAACTCCAGCTCGCGAGAGGCGGAAGCGGAGTCGACGGGGGAGCAGCAACGGTCGACTCGCCGCCGTCCTCACAGCCAAGTAAATCAACCTAAGATATGCTGACTTCAGCTACACTATTTGCATAGCTAAAGTTGCGTATCTTACTTCAACACCCCACCCCCCCCATTAGTGTAGACCAGGTCAGAGACTGTGGAACAAAATCCCTCAGGAGTAAAGATATCACAGACTTCAACACCTTCCGCTCCAAATGCAAGTCACACTTCTTCAACTTCGCCTACCAAAACAAAACATTATATTGCATACACAGTTCTCCTGGGGAGAGGATGAGAGCAAGAACAAACCACATGTGGCAGATGTTAGTCCCTGTGACAGATATGGCAATTTCCTACAATATCCTTGAAAAAAACCTTAATGGGTTAAGTTTAAGTATCTTTTGAGTCCACTGTATTAAATGCAAAGGTTATGTATTATCGTGGTCCGGGATTGTATGGGTAGATATGCTGTGAACCTTGGGAAGTGTTATGAACTTCAAAGAACTGTACTGAACAATGTGTAAGAATGGGCTTTTGGGGACAAACATTGTCAAGTGATTTACCCGAGGAATCTCTAAGGGGAGATGAATGCAAATTCCCTACCTCCAGTGATACAAAAACCCAGTCTTTTGAAGTTCCACCCTGAGGAGAGGGCCATTATCTGCAGATTACCTGTTCTTGGAGTCTCAAGTTCAAAGGCCCAAGCTGCATACAGGAAAGACTAACCTGTTCGTGGGGGTGGTAGTTCTGAGCTAAGGCTGTTATGAATTTGTGACCACAGAAAAGCTCCATTGTGGGGTTCGAAGCACTGACTCTTAATGGAGCCAGGAGGAGTTGGGAGGGATGAACTCTGATAAACTTATTAGAATGTGTGTACGTTCTTTTGTTGTTTTAATGTTTTCTCTGTAATGCTTTCATCTTAAGAATAAATGTGCTTGCTTCGAAAGAGTCGTGTAGTAACTTGTGACTGCTGGTAATTACAGCTGTTCATAACCTCTGGAGAGAAAGCAAAGTGCAGACACTGGCCTGTTTAGGCAGTCTGGCTTGCTGAGAATATCATAGTGTAGACAGGGAACAGTGCAGCCTGCAATAATCACTGTCAGGAGGGAGAGAGATGTGGGTCTCTTCCCAAGAGAGGTGATGGTTGAGGAGCTGGGAGTTTAGAGTGGGTGCCCTTAAGGGACCACTGTGAGGGAATACTGGTGCAATTGCCCTGAACTGTAACACTCACATCACTTAATGCACTCCTGCAATGCACTCAGATACCACAGTAAAAGAAGGTGTATAGAACAGAACAGAATAGCCCTGTCTCTCTGTTCATGCATATCTAATACTCCCAGTGACCTGATGTATGGGGAATGACTTTGGTGGGAATGGTGGTGGATTTCACCCCTGAAGAGGAAAGAAAACAATCAATACATTTATATTGGGATATATGCTAGGCTGGTTTGGTATGTTTGGTGTATCAAGCAGTAATTAAGTTTAGCTGTGAGAGACAGGAACCACATGAGCAAGCTCTTTCTTTTATTTAAAGTTCTCCCAACTAGGAGCCTACTGTGACAAGCCTGCTGAATGTCAATGGAAGCTCACACCTACTCTCCTCTCCCCCAGGATGAGATCATCATGCAGTGGTCTTGTTGTGTGAATGCTACTTTACAGTTTCACCAGCTCTTGTTGGCTCCTGTACTTGGTACGATTTGATTTCTCAGTGACTCAGTGGCATGACTTTCGTCTCACTAAAACATTTGATAGACCTTGTTTATTTCAATTCAAATCTCTTACTGCTGTGCTGGTAATGCTGTTACCTGGTAAATCACTCTGCCAATGGGTGGGGGTGTTTCTAGGACTTAGCATGTGAGATGGCAGATGGGATGGCAAAGAACTTTCCTATGGAGGCAGGCAACTGTACTAATCACTCCTCTGCCCGCTGCAGGAATTGTTCATTTCCAGTATCTATTGCAAGCTGTGGTATTTCAGAGGTGCTGTTGATTAATTTTTACTCCCTGAATTATTATTTTACAATGGCCCAAATTTATCCCTGCTGTATCCCCATTGAGTTTAGCAGAGTTACATCATGGATGAATTTGACCCATTTAGCATATTGATAACAGTCAGTTTGCAAACATGTCAAGGATATTTTGCCCTGAAGAGCTGGTGCAGTTAACTCATCTTGCAGTTGAGGTGGGAGAGTTATTTCATAGAGAGGGCTATATGTGCCATGTAAGCGGACCTGTCCCTGACAACAGGGACTGGGTTGATCAATCTAGAGCAGGGATCGGCAACCTCTTGCACGTGGCTTGCCAGGGTAAGCACCCTGGCGAGCCGCGTGCCAAAGGTTGCTGACCCCAGATCTAGAGTAAAGGCTTTCAAGACTCAGGAGGGACTTTTACTGTTTTGAGATTTTCTCAATTCTTCATAGATAGGACATATTCTGAAGTGTATTTAGTATGAAATTGGGAGGATAGCTCAAACAAATATGTAGATAAGTAAAAAGCCCAGATCTGCCCTCTGAATTGAATGTGAGTTGCACGGAGGCATCTGAGAGGAAAACTAAACATGGCAAGTGTAGAAATGCAGAACTGGGCTTCTCCTAAAAGCCACATCCTCTCCTCAAACATATGAGTGGAATAGACATATCTGAGGACAGTATTTGGCTCTCCGTTTTCATAAGATAGAGTTGAGGAAAAAGAAAGGAAAGAAAAATTACCTGGGGCTATGAGGCTAGAAATACAGCCACATCCTCAGTCCTTTACTGAAGGAAGGGCAAAATGGATAACAATCAAGATGAAAAGTAAAAGGATATCCATGTGAAAATACTGTGCTTACTTTGAAAACCACAGGGCCCTACTTACAGGATTTATAAGATTTATATGAAATGCTCCTGGCCCTTTGACACTTTTCCTGACACTCATTCATAGAGGAGGATTTGTGACTGCCTGTCAGTGGTTTCCCTCAAAAAGAGCTTGATGGCAACAGTCCAGAAGAGCTTACAAAATAAGAAACAGAAGCTATCATGCTTATATTTTCCTTTGAGTAAGACATGAGATAAATCCTGGCATAAGGTCCTCCTATAGCAATACGTATGGAAGAAAATGACTAAAGAAATGCTTACCGGATCACCTCCAGAGGCAAAGGAAATAGACTGCATATGATGATTTGCTATGATCTGTTTGGATCAGAAAAAAAACAAAAGTATGAGTCAGTAGATTCTCTTTTGCAGTTTACCTCTTTGTTGTTGTTTTTTTTGTTTTGTTTTTTTGTGAGAGTGAAGTAAAAACCCAAAACAAGATCAAAATAAATTCTTGCCTTTCATCTATGAGGAGTTAGTCACAGAGAACATGCAGCTGATGTAAACAAGCTTAAGAATATTAGATATCCCTACTTCAGGTTTTCCTTAAGTTGAAGGACAATGAAATTTTAGAATAGCAATGAATGAACATAAAAATGTGCCCAGCATTCAAGTAAATTATATAGTCCTGCCATACAGTATCTTAGCTGAAAATACAGTTTCCTGAAGATATTTTGGAGAAACTTTAATCTGTTGAAGTGAGTTTTTGTCACAGGTAGCGATGAATGTAGCAAAAGGGTACACTTCACCCAAAATAAAGAGCTTCCATATCCTGCATGGCTATAGAGGGCAAATGTTAGGGGCTTCCATAACCTCCTGTGGATTTGAACATTGTGGACACCAGATAGGCTCTCTGGCTCAATGGGGTTAACTGTCAGAGCAGTGGAAAGGGAGTGGGGGTCATAGAGAGAGGCATTCCCTGAACTGACTAATTTTCCTTTCCCCTTTTTTCCCTGCAGCTGAAAGACCATGCCTAGCAGTACCTCCCTCTTGAGAAAAAGGCTGTCTCTTGGAGTTCCTTCGCTGAGTCAGAAAGGGTCAGAGAATAAGGTGAAGTGCTTCCTCCATGTAACGCATGCTGCCTTCATAATACTTCCAGCCCCATCTGCTCACCCAACTATAACCTTTAAATAGATCTTTCATTATTTTTATTCTCAGTGGAGAAACCCTCCCTTTATCCCCAAGGGAGGGTTTCTCTCCCCACTATCACTCAAAGACCTGCATCACGGTGGTCTTTGTACCAGGAGGTCTGAACAGTAATTCACTCCGTGTCTCAATGTCACTCCTAACTAACATAGTCAATTCAATGGAGCAACTCAACTGGTCCCTTACCTCCCTACTCCAAATTAAGAATGCTGTTTTTCCATTCTCTCCAGTCCAAAGCTGATCCACGAACAAGAGACTACTAACAAGAATCAAGCCTGTCTTTCTTGGATAGCACCATAAAGAACTAATCAGAAAGCCACTTGGCCAATCTTGCTTTCAGTATTGTGAAAGGTATGCCACAGAAAGCAGACCACATTTTTATACATTCCAGGAATGCTCTCTGGGGTAATCCAACACTCCTAGTATAAACCAGAAATGAAGGAGCCCTCCACCAGAGTGCTGGTTTGTCAAAGACCCCTTTATTTCCCAGTCCTGCATCATCATAGCTTGTGTAATGAATATAGTTACACATGATATCAGTCATCTCTTCTATTTCCAGTTAATGAAACTATATTGTGGAGAGAAGCCAAAACATTTGGGGTTGACCCTCAGCTGGTGTGAATCAGCATAGCTCCATTGACATCCCCAAATCTCTGCTGCTTTACACAGAGCTGAGGCTGTCGCCCTTTATTTAAAATGACTTCTTATTTTTAAAATGCCTTCCGTTTTTTATATGTTTTGCAGATGGGTCATACTAAGGGAAAGCTCCTTGTGCCAGTAGTGAAAGCTGGGGACAACTGCCCTTATAAAAAGTACTATCAGATTCTTTAATAATGGTCCAAAACACTACAACATGCCATAGTGCTGCTACTACAGTGCTTGAGCTAGTACTGTAGTAGAAGACTACAGCAGCTTATCTATAAGATGGTGGGGAAAAGACAAATAAAAAGTAAGAAACCTTTCAGGTGTGTGTGTGTGTTTGTAGTTTATTTTTTATCTTGCGACACAGCAGGTTTTTTTCCTTGCTGTATCTAGGCACATCTAGGTACGTAGCTCACAGCAAATAGCACAGCAGTGATTATGCAACACTATCAGCTTTCTCTATATACATAGCGAGCAAGATTTTTTCTCATCTCATACATCATTCACAACCCACTGCAGTGATTCCCCAAAGTCAGTATATACCTTCAGCACAAAGGAGAAGAATAAAGGGGTTGGTTGACACAGGCTTCCTTCTTCTGAAAGGCAGACATTTCACTGAAGTGCAAAACCCCCAAAGCAGGATTTTTAACATCACCTTATGAATAGAATGCCTTCTAACACAATATATAGAAAAAGAAAAGAAAAAAGACTGGGGATAGGCATTCATCTCTGTAGATTGGTCAGAACCAAAATACCTCCACCCAAACACAGCCAAAGTTTGGAACTGGACCATTTTTTGCCAGAAAACGCCATTTCACATTGTAAAGTGGACCTTTTGAGAGGTAATGACAGAATTACTGTGAAAACATTATTTTCACCAATCTATGTTAAATGGGTAAACAAACTAATCTATTGCACTTTACATTTTCATTCCTTTTTTATTTGATAAAGAAATAACACTTTAAGCACAGGTGAATTTTATCAAGTAGCAAACATTTCACGATATGCTCTTCATCAATGGATTTAGGGATTTTTATACACAAACCTGTTTTGAATCAGGAGTCATTAGATTTAAGCTGGTGGTGGATATATTCAGAGTTATGTTCATTCCTGCAAACTGAAGATTGCTCTTTCCCAAGACGCTAGAGAGAACTTTGCTTGGTGGCTGTGAAGTAAAGTAATACATTTTAGTTGCTTCGCGAGGACAACTCACTGTAATGGATTGCTAAACTGTATTATACTATTCAGCCACGTGGGGACACTGTGTAACAAACCCCATTTAAACTAACCTCAGCCGTTCCTGGCAGTTCATTAAAGGATCTTATGGAAGGTTCATATCTGGTGTACCTCTGAGAAGGGAGCTCTGTAGCCAGTCTATACCCAGTACAGTAGCCTGACTTCTAATAGCAGCCCTCCAACCTCCCCTGTACAAGGTGTACATGGTACACTTCATGCAGGCTCAGCTGACATCTTAAGAGCTGCTATTCAAGAATGACAACTTTTACTCTACTCTAGTGATCACTTCATTTGGGCAGTTATTTTTCTCTGTAGGTCATTCCTCATAACACAATTAACAAAATGGTTAAAGCATAAGTGTGGAATATAGCATCAAACCATAGATTGCAAAGCATTATTACTGTGCAATAGTCAGTGGGGATCAAACCCTGGACTTACAACACCAAAGCACATACTCTTAATATTTGAGACGAAGGAATAACTTTGTTAGCTACAAGTAAGTAGCAAAGTCTTATTCTCATTAGAGATAGAAGGAGATATAACTGCATACACTTCACATAGAAGAATTTTTATTACTATGTAATAAATCCATATTACAGACTAGAGACAAGAATTTGCCCTAGCCATGTAAATTAAGATACCTGAGCTGAAACTGACAAAAACATGAGAGTCACCGTGAAGACAGGGCGGGGCACAGACCTGCAAAAGTTCATGTGTTTTTTGTTGCTGTTGTTAAGATTTAGCTGCTACCAGCACCCTTTCCCTTTCCAAAGGGTTGGTTTGTTTTAAAAGTAGTTCGAGCGAGTGCTGAGAGAATGCGGAAATGATCAACGCGACACTCGGCTGATGCAGCAACTCATGGTGTCGGACGCCATCAGGTGGTCGAGGGACATCTACATAGAACACATCACCGGACATCGGCAAAGTAACTGAAATACTTTCCTCGTGGATTTTATTTTCTAAATGGACAACCTACCTAATTCTCAATTACTGTGGGACAATCTCCACTCATTGATATATTTTGCTTTCCACAACCAAATCTCTGTACAATTTTTCATGAGTGATGAACCCAAGTGTTCAGATTCTAATCTCTCAACAGGAGATACTGCTCTTAGACACACTGATTCAGCAAGATGGCTCATTGGGCACTAGGAACTTCCTTTCATCCATTTTCCCAGTATTATTTTGTGGCATTTTGTTTTTCAAGAAAAAAGACATTTGCCTTTCTTTTACTTTCTGATTAAAAGCCCATTAAAAAGGCTGAATATGGAAGATATTCTTTGAAAAGACAATTCTGTTCTGAAGCAGATTCTATTGTCGCTGTGGTATTTGTTGTTTTAGTGTTTGCATATGTCTCACTGGGAGTTAAATACAGTACCCCCGTTGTGACCATGAGAGCTAAATATATATTACATGGCTCTCAGCTACAAGAAAAAGGCCACATTCAGCAAGGACGGTGTGTGGGTTCTTGTTCTGAACCCTCCCTCATACATTCTATTTCTGTTGATAGTGCAGCAGTTATCCATTTCAGATACAAGCTCACGTCACTGCAAACTAGATTTCCTAAGAGCTAAACTGTGGCTTTGCCACAAGCCCTGAGTCAGGGGCAGTTCATAGTTGTGCTGCTCCAGAGACAGAGCCGGGATCGCACTGGCACTCAGAGTCACAATATGGTGCCTGGATGGTTCTTTCCTTGCTCCAGGAGGGCAACAGTTTGTGTCAGCCATATACCTAGCACAGTGTACTTCCCCCTTTGCTGTGGCCAGTAGTGTGGGGGCAGAGCCAAGCCTTCACCCACTCCCCAGCCACTTCCCCCCCCAGCTATGTTACTAGCCATGATATGGATATCCCAGGCAGGGGAGGAAGGAGTATCCTTACACTCCCTTACTTTGAACTCTATGAGCGATGCTGACCGGAAGGGCAGTCGGTGCAATCTACAGTGGCTGCACACAGACAAGACTTTGGAAGATTCTGCACCTGCAGTTCTCAGGCTGACTTAAACACACCTGCCCACTGCATCTGGTTTCCGCTATGCTGATCTAAAGAAATATGTGTCACTGACAAGAAAGAAAGAAAAATACCTTTCTTTTTTTGAAGGCTGCTTTGGCTCCAGGTACTGCTTCACAAACACGGCTGATTGCTTCCCTGTGGAGACAGAAAATAAGCTTTATAGCAAATGGATGTGTTGGTTTCTTCATTATATGTTCAAATTGCACTGAAGGGGAATATTTGACAACTTAATTCTTTATGGCATTCAGTCACAAGTGAAGACCCGATAACTAGTGAGTCAATTAGTTCTTTTCTCACCAGTAAAGATATCATCTCTGATCAGCTTTAAAACAGACTCAATTTTTTTTTAAAATACAACCTGCCAAAAACATTTCCCTACTACCTTCCTGCCCAAATGTGGAATTTTCTCCAAATTTGGATTACTCTGCTCTGAGGTACAATACTCATTTTTGGTTTAAGGTGCAATAACATGAGAACCATCAAGGATAAAAATTGGCTCTTTATACCATTGGAGAGCTGGTATATGCTGCACAAGTCTCTTTTTTTTTACCCTGTGAGATATCAGGTCTTAAAACAATGCTACTCTTAATTATTAAACACCATTTGAGACCATTTTTAACATTTGTGTTTATTTTGGTTTTTTTTCTAAATTTAGAACATAGAGACGGTTATTTTCCTCCCCCTCTGAGGCTTGTGCAGAACCAAGCCAGCCTGGTTTCACATAATATCAAAACTCTAAAATATTTCTGCAATCATTTTGCTGCAAAATGTATGTTGTAAAGAAAATATATGACAGTGTGTTGTGGTGTAAGGATTTTACTGATATTTGTTCATTATGACCCACATAACTTGTGGCATTACTGTACCACTACAAATATCTTATGTTTTTTTTTCTACTCAGACTTATGTCATTGGTAAATTAATGCTGGCAGGCTAAGTGAAAGAAACATACACTCAGGAGGAATTTGAATGAAGAATATGATTGTATTTCAAAATGAAATTTTGCTGATCATGCAGCTGTAGGTGAATGTCTTTAGGCCCTATCGGTTTTAAACAATAGGTCAAATGCAACAACCAAATTGTTAATTCTTGAAAATCTGTAAACGTGCATGCACAGTCCTTCTTAGTCATGTTAATATCAGTGTTGTAATGGATGTAGCCTTGATTGATGCAATACATTGTAATGGCTCCACTGGGACTGTTAAAGATAAACTGCAAAATATTGTTTAACAATATTAAATATTGAGGGAGATTTCAAATTATTAACAGAATAGTATGTGTATACTTCCAAATGGATAAATGACATTTATTTTATACAACCAAATATTTTTAAAAATAACAAAATTGGAGGGAACCCACCGCAAACTCGAAAGCCCACAGAGCCAGAAATAACCAAAATCTCAAAGCCAACCTAAAGGATCATTAAAAACCAAAATATTACTTTAATTCTACTCTGACACAATATCTGTGTTACTGTTTCAACCCATAGTCTATGTGAATGTATGTGATCAGTGTGCATATGGGAGGGGGTGCACACGTATGTGCAAGCGTACACACAGAGAATGGCCTAACAAATGAAGTTATTGATTTATTATGGAGGAATCAGTAGTGACTACATAGTTAAGATTGGGGCATGCACTGAAATAAAAATTTGGCCACTTTTGGAGGGGCATTTTCTGTGTCCCCCTTGGCCTGAGGTGCTGGCTCCCCTCTATCCCCCCCCCCCCCCACTAGCCCTGGGGCCTGTGGCGCTCGCTCTCCCCTGATGGCTAGAGGAGCTGGTTCTTCCCCTCCTCCCCCACGGCCCCAGGGCTGGAGGAGCTGGCTCTCCTCTCCTCCCCCTGCGGCCCGTGGAGTTGGATCTCCTGCCTTGACCCTGGGCAGGAGGAGCTAACTCTCCCTGCCCTGGAGGAGTTCTGTACTCTGGTTTTGTTGACTGGGGGGGTCGTGCCCCTGCTTGCCCCCCTTGCGCATGTCCCTGGTTAAAATTGTGTGGCACTTCTCACCTAGCGCCCAAACCAATGCACCTGAAGTCAGTGGAAAGACTCCCATTAACTTCAACAGATTTTGGATCAGGCCCTTAAAGCAAGACTAAATCCCTCCATTTCACTGTCCAATGATTGAATTTAGTCTCCAAATCTATCCCAGTTCAGAACCCCGATGAATTTTCTGCAATGTGTCTTGTGTAAAATTGTTATTAACTCTCCCAGATACAGCAGTTAACAATCAGGCCAGCTGGCAAATGACACCTGACATGACTCACAAGCACAGTACAACAAAACATCCCACTCCTAGACATCATCCCTGCACCTCAAACAGAGGCTACTTTTGAAAATGTAATGTCAGACAGAAAAAAATATTTCCCTTGTTCATAACAACTGTTTTCATTAACCCCAGAAAAAGCCAACACATACGTCTATGATCCAATGCTGCCTCTTTAGCCCTGCTGCCCAGCCATGAGCACCCCTAGCTCCTCAGATAGGCTCCCAGCGAGCCCTGGATCCTGCAAATACAGTGAGGAAGACTGGGTAGCAGCTGGGAGTCCTTCTCCCCAGCCCATGGCAGGCTTCCCAGACTTACTCCCCATCCCTTCCCAGTGTGCTTCAGAGCAGGTCTGGGCAGTTCTTCAGCTACTCATCCACTCTGACTGCATAGATTCATAGATTCTAGGACTGGAAGGGACCTCGAGAGGTCGTCGAGCCCAGTCCCCTGCAGAGATACAAACTGTGCTTATCGGGTAAATTTTCCAGCAACTCTCCCTGCCTGCTCTCACAATCTCCCAGCTACTATCAGCAACAGAAGGCATGGAGGGGACAGGGAGACTTGCAGGCAAATTTTCCTGACAAGTGCAGCTTGCATCTTTGCATTGGAGACATCTCCATCTCAGATGCTGAGCTGGGGTCGGTACTTCTTTGGTTGCCTGGCCTCTCTGCTGGCTGGCTACTGAGTGTCAAGAGAGGAGCCCTACACTAAGGAAACTCAGTCAATCCATCAGATTGGGACTCCTGCTGGCTACCCTTATTAGGTCTGAAGTTGGGGAAGTGAATGTACTGGAATGAGAGGAAGGAAACCTAGCTTGAAGGATTGGCTGGCTGGCTGTATCACCAGCCTCCTGTTGGAACAACCAGCCAATCGAAGCACTCCACATTTTAGCTGGGAAGTGGATCTGAAAAGGGGGATGGAGGACAGCTGGGGAGCCAAGATGCATATCAGCTTAGGCAGTAATAACACACTACAGACTTCCAACTGCAGGTACATCTGTCCATAAAACACCTTAACCTTGCTGAGCTTGGAGTTCAGGTTGTGTGTCTGAGTGTGTGAAATGAAAGAGAGTATGCTGTGGATCTCAGGAGGACAAGAGTGCATTTGAGTGTTATGATATTGAGCTGATAAGACATGTTGAAACTAGTCTGGACCGTAGTATTGCTGTAACTAGTGACTTCCTTGATTTTCAGTAAATACACTAGAGCAACCTCAGTTCTAAAGTTAACAATGGTTTTGGTGGGGATATTAGGAGCTTTGAATGAAATACCAGCTTATCTTTGAAGCATGCTGGTGAAGATAGTGGAGCTGGAGAAGAAGTTCTCCAAGCAATTTTGCTTGTGGAAGACAGGATGGCCCAAAGAAATCTGGGGTCAGCTTCTCAGAAGTGATCCTTACAGCTGCTGCAAAAAGGTGTAGCATTTACTTGGCCCGTAGGCATGCAGGAGCTCACGCACTGACGTGCTCATATAGATCCCTGATTAGATAAACAGATGGAAAGAAAACAGCTGGCTGGTCACCTCCACTTTGGACCTAGAAGGCGGGGAAGAGATGGGGCAGGAAGAAGCAGGGAGGGGTTGGGACATTGGAGGAAGGGGTGGAGTGGGGGCAGGGCCTTACCAAAGCTTGGGGGGAGCACCCCCCGGCAGAATGGAAATTAAGCGCCTGTGCCCCAACATCTCTGCCAGTCTGAAAAATTCCTTCCTGACCCCAAATATGGCAAATCAGTTAGACTCTGAGTGTGGGTGAGAACCACCAGCCAGACACCTGGGAAATAATTCTCTGTAGTAACTCAGAGCCCTTCTCATCTAGTGTCTCATTTCCAGCCATTGGAGATATTTGCTAACAGCATTCACAGATGGGCTGTATGCCATTGCAACCTCAGTATAGCATCCACTCCATAAACTTATCAAGCTCAGTCTTGAAACAAGTTAGGTTTTTTGCCCCCACTACTCCCCTTGGGAAGCTATTCCAGAATTTCACTCCTCTGATGGTTAGAAACCTTCATCTAATTTGAAGTCTAAACTCACTGATGGCCAATTTATAGCCATTTGTTTTTTTGTGCCAGTATTGGCCATTAACTTAAATAACTCTTCTCCCTCCCTGGTGTTTGTCCCTCTGATAAATTTATAGAGAGCCATTATATCTCCCCATACCCATCATTTTGTTACACTAAACAAGCCAAACTCCTTAGGTCTCCTCTCATAAGAAAGGTTATCCATTCCTCTGATCATCCTAGTAGCCCTTCTCTGCATCTGTTCCAGTTCGAATTCGTCTTTCTTAAGCATGGGAGACCAGAACTGTAAACAGTATTCCTCATCTGGACAAGGTCTAACTGATGCCTTGTACAATGGTAATAACACTTCCTATCTACTGGAAACATCTCACCTGATGCATGATTGTATTAGACTTTTTTTCACAGCTGCATCACATTGGGGGCTCATGGTCAATCTGTGACCAATACACCGAGGGCTTCTCTTCTGTCACTTCCAACTGATAAATCCCCAGTTTACAGCAAAAATTCTTGTTGGTCCTTAAGTTCATCTTGCACTATTCAATTCCATCCCATTTCTATTACACCAAAATTCCTTGTATGATATTCCGGTCCTCCTCTGTATTGGCAATACCTCCCAACTTTGTGTCATCCACAAATTTTATTAGCACACTTTTTGTGCCAAGGGCATTAATGAAAATATTAAATAAGATTGGTCCCAAGACAAGTTCCTAAGGAATTCCACCAATAACCTCCTTCCACCCTGACAGTGCTCCTTTCAGCATGACTCATTGTAGTGTCCCCTTTTTTGTTTTTTGTCCCCTTTAACCAGTTCCTTACCCACCTTTTGATTCTCATATTAATCATCATCCTCGCAATTTTGCGCCCACCATTCCCTGTATAGGCACACATCAAACCAGATTAACTGTGCATACAGCTGCTAGTTTGAGCGTGCACTTATCTGACTTGTGCATACAAACACGTATCTGAACAGGAAAATACAGAGGTTTGTGGCACATTTGCATGACTAATCAATTGCATGGACTTTGGAAAAATTGGACATAAATGTAATTTCTTGCTTGATGTGGAAAAGTGGTTTTCAATAATATGTTTAAAACTTTCTGGACCCCATGCCCTTACGGTAACCAGGCACTGATCTCAGCTATGTACCACATAGTGCAGCACTTATTTTGATATCTTGTACAATTTGTTTCTGTGCAGACTGCAGTAAGGACCACATACTGAGTTCTAAATTTGGCCCTAAATATTTTCTGCTTTGCAGATGGTCATATCTGAAGTAATTTTCTCAGCAATACTGAATTTCTCCAGTCTTACCTACAGTGCTCCATGATGATCTGACATTATTGTGAGAAAGAAAAGCATGTCTTTCACATTGGCATCATGTTCCATTTAAAAGGCCATAGTCCTGTTGTTTGTTTTTCATAACTTTAACCATCATACTTTGTGTGCACTTCTAGCTCTAAGGAAGCTGGAAACTGTTTCTTTATTAAACATTTTGTTTTGACAATCACACGAATGTACCCTTGCTTGTTTTATTTTGGATTTTTTTAATTTATTTCACTCCCGCAATTGATTACTTTTTATGAAAAGAGAGTACTGAAGCTATTGTTTTGTGGGAAAAGACAGACATGTAAAAGTTGCATTGACTTTTCAATTGAATTTTAAGAAAAAAACTGGTAGGTCAATTTTGAGACTAGAAACCCTGACCAATTTGCACACACAAAATGACTTGCATGCCACGGCCATAAACTTGCTGTTTTTTCTCTTGTCTATCCATGTTACCCCATGCTTCCATCTATATCTTTGCCAGCCTAAACAAAGAGACAAACTATTGTATGCAACAAACATTAAATTAATTTACTTAGAAAAAGAACTGCACATTTTTGGACAAATTGTGGAGTCTGCCACTATTCATTTCTGAACACTCTATCTTTGCCAATCCTTTTAATAAACAAATTACATAGCTACCACCTGCCAAGGAGAAAAATGGCCTATATTAAAATTAATATTAACACTTTAATTCTGAATAAATCCCACAGAGGCCAAAAGTAAACTTTCAGAAATATATTTAATAATCAGAATATTTGTTCATTTACAAAACTGGCACAGTAAATTTGAAGTGTTTGAAGTGGTTAAGGGAGGATTAAGAAGCCTTAAAGGCTAGTGCTCACATATTATAGTTAGTGGTGCTTTAAAGGCAGAGAGGCAAACGGGTGGGGTCTGATAGACGTGAGGATGAAAAAATAGCTAATGAACATAAACTGAGAGTATGGAAGAGAATGATGAAAGGACGGTGAACAGGTCTCGTGATATAATGGGGCAATGAATAATCCTGGAGCAGAGCTGCTTGTACAAGGGGTGAAAGGATCTAATGATGTGAACTCACAGAAGAGGAATGTGAACTAGCCTACTTATTCCAGGTCACAGAAAGCATGGAACAGAGGGGAGGATTTATAGAATAAACTGGTGGTGATGAATATGGCAAACAAATTGTGGTAAACTTAGACAACAAGATATAAAGCCATTCCTCTTTTTCTTCCCTTCAGCTTCTCAGTTTGTTTCTTGCAATGTGGGATTCTCTCTATGTGTGATAGATCTGTAAGGGGGAAACAAAAACAAGCTGGCCATTCTATCCTTAACACATTTTATAAACCGTATACACAATCAGGACTGTGTAATCGACTATAATAAGAGAAATACATCTTTGGCAATGATTAGCTACAGAACATAACTTATGGTTAGATATATGTTGAACTACACAATAGTAATTCAAGTGCATTGGCACAATTAATACTCTTGAACTCAGAGTTTTCTATATGCATTTGAAAAGTGTTTTCTAAATTAATGACAGAAGTCAGTGCACTCAAGCCTTAGGCTATTTCAGAGCACCCTGCGTCAACAATTCGTGGATGCTTTTTTAATCCCTTCACTGCCAAAGATATTTGTTACCCATTGATTTGGTTTAGTGGTGTTCAGTTATTTTCAAACTTCCATAGATGCATATTTATTAAGCAACACACCAGACAGAATATCTTAGAACAACCAGTACTTTTCACTCATGTCAAGCCTTTGTGGGAATCTATTCACAAATTTACTAAATTCCACACAAAATGTGAATAAAATGCAGATTTATAAAACCAATGAGCTCCAGAAAATCCTACTGTTTTATACACCAGCAGCATAGAGAATTACATATTGTTAAATCCTACTTCTAATAAACTAGTTTATGGTGTTCTGATTTTCAGAAATGTGGAATTGTGCATGCAATTACACACCTAATTTGTATTTATAACCACACAATTTGCATACACACCGGGTCAGTTTTGCACCTAACTGGCATCTTTGGAGCATACACATCTGATTTTTGTGCACAGCTATGGCAACTGTACATGCCAATTAGACACAGAACTCCATTTTTGTGCACACAGTTGCGTGCATATTTCTGACAATAACACCCTTTATGTTTAAGCATCATACAGACTCTAAAAGCCCTTCCAGTACAAGGAGTAAATTTTCAAACAAGCTTCTAAAAACACCTTTTAGTGTACACAAATAGTGTGTGTGAAAAACCCTGTATTTGCAATAGGGATTCTCTTTTTGGAAGATGAGTTCAGTGATGCCAACAAACTAAAGGAAGAACCTAAGTCTAGATCAGTTTAGTTAAGAAGGCATAATTCTCTAACCTCCTTTGCAGGCCATTCCAGCATGGCCTCTGGAAGTATAGACCAGTGGGGAGGACAATGGATTGAGACACAGAAGACATAAGCTCTATTCCTAGCTCAGCCATCAGCTCACAGTATGACAGTGGGCACAGGAACATAGGAATTGTCATATCAGATCAAACCCAAAGTTTGTCTAATCTAGTCCCCTGTCTCTAAGAGCAGACAACACCTGTCACTTCAGAGCCCTTGGTAGGCAGATATGGGATAATCTTTGCCCCAGGTGATTCTCTCACTAATTGCTAGAGATTATCTTAAATCCTGAAGCATGAGCTTTTACAACTCTTCCAAAATCTCTTGTTTTTGGATTAATGATTATAAAACTGGCTAGCCTTATTACTCATATAAATGTCCAATCCCTTATTTGCTGCCTGATAAGTTCGTGGCCTCAACAACATCTAGTGTCAATGAATTCCACAGATTAATTATGCATGGTGTAAAAGAGTCACTCAGCTTCCCCACACCTTGGTTTTCCCCATGTGTTTGAAGTCCCATGGCCCATCTGCTGTTAAAAATTTGACAGTCTCCTAATTGTCAAGTAATGACTCCACAGTTAACTTTGCACTGAGATTTGCCTTTAAAAGCAGGAATAAAACCCGTCTGCTTCACACTAACTACTAAATGAGTCCCCAGTTTTTAATCTCTTTTTGCTCCAGTAAAATGTTCAACTTTCAAAATGTAGCCCTGAGAAGTCTCACTTCTTTTTGCCTCCCTCTGGCTAAATCCACAGTTGCCACAAACTCCAAATTTTACACACACAGACATTTTCATAAGATCTCAGAGACAGGACACATTTGTATTTTATACAGCAGTACAGACACAGTTATTCTTGAACTGAATGTATTTATCTCTGCTAAGAAAAAGCCAACAGAATTGCTCAGGTTCATCAACCTCTTGTCTGATAGAGCAGGGTGCAGCTACAGCCATAGGAGAGTTGGCAGCTCCACGTCTTTGGCAATTTGGTCTTCAACTCTCCCCCCAACCCTGTCCTCTCTGTAGCTCTTTCTTACTCACAGAGGCTAGCAGAAGAAGACAGGGAGGGCTGCCCAGGCTTAATAAGTTATCATTATTGTCCACTTTTGTTCATTATTGTTGAACTACCATAGGTCAATCAAATTAATCTAACACTACTGAAAATGTTTCCATTAATAATAAATTAAAATTAAAGATGCTTACAATGTAAAGCACATTAAAAAGCCTGTTTGTTCCAACACATTTGCATGCTACTTTATGGGAGCTAAGTGGGCAGATGTAAATTATTCCCCATCAGTATTTGTTACTCTGTTAAGCATGAGTATCAGGTATTATAAATTCTTAGTTATCCAGGTATTATTCATAATTCTGGTGCATATGAGTAGCAGTTATTCACCTATTGGGCACATTTCCTAGTATGAAACTCAACAATAAATTACTACTTCTACTACTAATCTGGCTTCCATTGAAGGTTCTCAGAGTATGTAAAGCATGGGCTAGACAATGACTTTTGAATCACAGACCTGAGGAGGGGGCAGTCTGTCTGGAGCTGCCCTGCCCCAAGCGGGGAACGAAAGCTCCGCCTTGCATAAAAATGGGGCAGATTGCTCTCCTTCCACAGCCCGCTGTTACAGGTTATGAGCACAGCCCTGTCTCCTCCCTGCCCTGAAGAGGGGAGCACTAGCAAGCAGTCCCTGTGCTCCCCAGAGCTCAGCCCCTGTGTAGCTGTTCAAAGGGAGAAAAGCTTCTTGTTCATCCCTCTGTCCATGCACGGGTGTGCTGGGGTTACATACAATCTGAGTCTATGTATGACACACCCCCTACAGTACCATCCAGATGGCAAAATCCATGGTCCATTAACCACAGGTGAACTATAGAACCCTGGTGCTTTCCAAGCAAAAGTAATATTTTCCAAGTAGCTGAGGGGTGGGGAGGAATTCAGTGACTACATAAGACTCATTGTTTGAAATACATGTTACCTAAATTTCTTCATAAGCTATAGTGGAGCCATTTTTCCCTCCCAATGTCTTCCTTCCTTCTGGGTGATCTTTGCTGGCAATAAGTTTCTGTAAAGAATACAAAATATGTAAAGAAATACTATATGAATTGAAATGTCATCAATATAAATTAGTGGTGGGCCTGAGCCTAGTTCTGTACCTTGGATTTGGATTTTGAATACCTCCTCTCCAAAAGTCGGGGCGGGGGGAATGGATGGAAAAGTGTGTATTTATGGTTTTGGTTCAGCCCCTTATGAAGGTAGGGTCCAACCACAAGATCTGGATCTGGACTGTGAGCAGGGTTCAATACCTTATCCCCACAAAGTTCATTGGGGACTAGGATCAGGATTTGTATTCAGGCCCATCGCTAATATAAGTTATTCCACTCCTGTGATCTACTTATTAACAGAACATGCAACATAATGTTTCACTCAGTATGGTGAGATGGCTTTCAGATGCTGCATGCACTAAAGTAATTGCACTCAATTAGCTAACAACAACACTGAACATGCAGGCTTGTAATCCAGATACCTGTAGTATGACAAACTGTACATGCAACATAATTATAATTCGGTTCATGCATGCCACATGGTAGCTAAAGCTCATTATAATATAACAAATTTAACAGTAAGCACACAGATGTAGACACTTGTGTATTAGATGAACAGTAAACATTGCACGTGTTGCAAACATATTTTACCTGATTATTTTTTTAATAAAAAGTTTGAGGACACAAATGGGCTGGCCAAAAAACTTTAAAGGTGGCCCCTTTCAGTGGCGATGGTGGAAGGAGTCATGGTGAATTTAGGACCAGTTGCCAGCTGCAGTTAGTTCAGTTGTCTGGCTCCTTCTCTACGTTGAAAATGAAACACTTCTGTTCATCCCGCTGCCCAAGCAAGTTAGCATTACTTCATGTGTGTGCCAAGAATTGCCAATGCATAGTTAATTATGCAATTTGTGGATTCAGTTGGCTTTTATTTTACCATTATCTGTACCTGCTGACACTTCTGCTTGCACTTTCATTTAAACGTTCAAAGATTCATGTGGAGATTACAAAAGAATAGGTACAATACAAGTGACAATACAATAGCACTCTAATTCTCACATTTGTTCTGTAGTAGAAGCCTCTGGCAACTTCATATTTCACAACAATCAAGGAAAAATCTCATTCAACTTATACTTACCTTTTAATTTCTCCATAAGCCATAGCCACAGAATAATATAATACCACCTTTTTCTGGGTAGCACTGAAACTGTTGATACCATTCTACTAACAGCATAGTAAATGGAAGCATCTGATCATTGATTTCACTTAAGGAGAAAGTATATTAACTATTAAATATTTAACATTTTAATTTTTAAGAATGATAAACAATTCAAGTTAAGTGTTAGACACACAAAGCACCAAGTGAAACAGTGAAAATAGCTTACATTTTTCACAAGTGACCTTAAGAGAAGGAAGATCCTTAAGCAAATCATATTTATTCTGGGCCTTCAAAAGTTGCAGCCAATTTTTCATGTGTTTGTTTTGCCCAAGCATATACTTGGATTTGGGTATCTAAATACCTGGTTAATAATAATAGGTGGGATGATTTTCAATACTTTTTAGGGGATTTGGACACCCAAGTCCCATTAAAATTTCTCATGGGACTTTGGCATCTAAATCCATTAGGCAGCTTTGAAAATCTCAGCCAGTATTATTAATTGTTTGCACTTCTACAGTCCTTTCTATCCAAAGATTTCAGTGCACTTTACAAGCATTAACTTATTTAGTCTCACAACCCTGTGAGGTCAAAACAGATTAAGTGGTTTGTCCCAGGAGACACCAGAAGCCAGAATCTATAGAACTCAGGATTCTGACTCTCAGGTTTGTGATTTGGCTAAAAAAACCCTTTCTTCCTCTCTGCAAGCATGCATCAATGTAGCAGGTATGCACAAATCTATATGATTTTGCATAGGCAAAAACTTAGATGTGACACATTGTGGGCACAATTTTAAAAGCTGCTTTAGAAATTTTGGCCCTTGAGATCAACAGAACCTCCCAGTGAATTACAATGTTGTTTTCATTTGATTACGGGCAAGACTGTGGAGTCTTTTACAATCATCATGATGAGCACTTATTAAGACAAGCCATAGACTTCAATAGGACTATTCATGTGAATAAAAGTTTGCCAGTAGAAGGAGTCACAAACCATCTGGCCCAAAGATAAATTCTATACACCTGAACAATATATATGATCAAATATGACATTTACACAATCTTTTAACCTGGCCTCTTGTTTAGGAACTTTATCTCCCTCCCATTCCACCCCACAGTGTTATTTTAATGTGCAATAACTGTGTTACCTATTTAATTTAAATTTTCTGAGCTCTTGGGTTTTGTGCCTCAGATAAAGCTACTCCTTGGCCCCTTTACCTGTGATCATGTCCTCAGGAATCTCTTACCTCTCCTTACTCATTATTGATTTGGAAAAAGTCAGGGGGAAGGAATTACAGGGTCAGATTTTTCAAAAGAGCTCATCTCTTTTCACTATGTGGCCACTGATGGTGATGCCTAAATGAGAGCTGAGCTCTTCAGAAATCTGGCCCCAATTGTAAGAGCTGAACTCTTTTCAAAATCTGCCCCACAGAGAAGAGGAGTGTGCAATGACAGATATCATGGTACTGCCACGGGAGCAACTGTTGATGTAATGTTAGAAAGGGAGTGACTACGCTACTCTCCGTGCACACATTCACGTGACAAGCCTTCAGCATGGCCACCGGGAAATAGATGTTTCCAGAATCCTGGCAGACTCTGACTGGGCTCATATTCTCAAACTGGACTCCATAGTGCTTACTAAACATTACCTGACGTCAGAAGTTATATCAGGCCAAAGGTGGAGCCATTTCTTCTTTCAAGTCTATAGGATTTGCAAGGAGACCTCACAGCAAAATGGCACCAACTAAAGCAAGAGCAATCCATGCTTACAGCCAGCCAGGAAGGTTGCATTATAACTAGAGGTCCATACATGGATTTGAACTGCTTAGACATTTGAAGCTCAGTGTATCTTCTCCAGCCAAGAGGAGTGGTGCAGCCACGCTTACACAGCATGACTCTCTGTCCCCTTCCAGTGGCTAGTCATAGAGCAATTTATGGAACCTGGGCTCTTTAGCTCAGGCAGTAAAGGCACCACAGGTCCCAGCTTCAAACCCTGCTGATGATGATCCATTACACAAGGGTTTTCAAATTTTAAAATGATTCTCACTGGTGAAGGAGCTGCAGAGAAATCAGCTAACAAGCAAGCACTGATAATGCCTCACTTGGCAGGCCCAACAGCACAGCAGGTATATAACATTTATACAAGAATCAAGGACAATGATACAGAGCATTTGGCACTGATTACAGATGAACTATAGAATTACTACAATCCTAGAATAAATGTGACTTATTAGAGACTTCTGTTTTCTATTTATAAGTGAGGTCAGCAGGAACCAGTTGGTGCATATGTGACATTTTACGATGAAGGTTAAAGCTCAAATGTGAGTTTGGGGAAATATGTCACTTCTTAATCAAACATAAGCTTGTATGATGTGAAATACAAAATTACAAAGTGAGGCAGAGACTGCGTGTGGTGATTGCTTTAACCGCAACCCAAGCCATAGGCATTTCTAATGTCCGTGATTATTTCTAATGTTAGTGAAATGCAGATTCAGGTTCTAGCATCTGATTCAAAGTTCATCCAAAGCTCCAACTGACTTCAGTGGACTTTGGATCAGACCCTATGAATGAATCCGAGGAGTGAGTCTATGTGACATCATTTTTTTTAAAAAATCAGAAACCTCAAGCAACATAAGGTTTTCTGCCTGCAACTTTTCTTATGTTTTAGAATCATAGAATATCAGGGTTGGAAGGGACCTCAGGAGGTCATCTAGTCAAACCCCCTGCTCAAAGCAGGACCAATCCCCAGACAGATTTTTGCCCTGATCCCTAAATGGCCCCCTCAAAGATTGAACCCCCACCCTGGGTTAAGCAGGCCAATGCTCAAACCACTGAGCTATCCCTCCCCGCACTATAATTGAGAGGGTCACCCTAAACTGAACCTTGCTTGCTAAGCAGGGGGTATATATGGAGATATACCTATCTCATAGAACTGGAAGGGACTTTGAAGGTCATTGAGTCCAGTCCCCTGCCTTCACTAGCAGGACCAAGTACTGTCCCTGACAGTTGTTTGTTTGTTTGTTTTAGATGTGGTCAAAATAATATGAGCCAAGGAAGTGCCCAGCATGCGATCAGCTATGCTACAACTTCAACAGAAAAATGTCATTTTCCAAATGTATGTTTCACAGTTAAAGCCAAAAATAACCATGAGCTCAGAGAACACTGAAGCAGAGACATTTTGCATGTAAAAATGACTGCAGATTATACTGCTTTTTGATTGGCAAATAAAGGTTGAGTTTTACGGGCAGAGAGAGTCTTTAAACTAGTTACTGGAGAAAAAGGCAATGCTAAACCAAGGAAAGTGTATACCAAAAAACAAGTGCTTCATATTCAGATACAAAATACCAAAGCAAGTAACTATTACAAATTGTTTTATAAGCCAGTGTCACTTAACTTTCGAAGTGGTAAGTACAAATGTGCCGCCGGTGTCAGAACTAAAATTCTGTCTGGCATGAAGTCACTTAAAAAAGGCCATTATTGTGAATACTGAAGAAACACATGCAGGGAGACCATGGAGACAGCTTACAAGAAATATTCTCAAATGTCTTCTAAGGCTTAGAATGTTTGACAGGAAAATATAATGTTCTGTCATCTCTCTCTCTCTCTCTCTATTCCCCTCATCATCATAGTATCTGAGCACCCAGTTAAAGGACTCATAGGGTATGCCTACACTGCAGCTGGGTCCAGGTAGACAGATTCATGCTACTTCAGCTTAAGCCAGCATGCTAAAAATTGCAGTGCAGAAGTTGTGGCTCTAGCGAAAACTCCGGCTAGCCACCTGAGCTCAGACACGGAGGTTTGGATGGGCTTGAGAGTTCGAGTCACAACATCATACTGCTACTTTTAGTGGGCTTCCAACTGCAGTGCAGTCATACCCATGGGGGCAACTCAAAGCTGGTGCATGCAGGTGCAACTCTCTTAAGTCAGTGAAATTACACCCATGTACAAAAGCTCTGAATCTGGTCCATGGAATCTACAAGAATGACATCCAAGCACAAGAGGTATTAGTTTCATAACAGATGTATCATGTCTTCTTTGATTGAGATAGACAACTAGAAACTGGGAGGTGTTTTCCAGAATCACCCTTCACAACCCATCTCCCTGAATTCAAAAAGACAACAGTCTTCTCCACTAATCCCATTTTATATTTTTCTTTTCAAACAGAATGGTTTATTGCCATGGATCTGTGACACCTGATTTGGCTATGGTTTTTGGAAGCTGTACTGTCCAAATGCTAGAAGATACCGGCATCTTGCCACATTGGAGGCCTGATTCAAAGTGAATGGGATCAGGCCCTTAAAACTAGAATGTATACAAACAAACATTTGCTGTATTTCTCCCTAAAGAATTTCTTTATAAATAAAATTATTCATGGATAATGTTTTTAAAGCAGTATAATCTTTTAGTGATGAATTTAAAAAAATGCTATGCTTACAAATTCTAATGTCTACCCAGTATATGTTTACTATTTATTATGGATTGTCCGGAAAGAATAATAGGCTTGTATTTATTTCTATTGCCATTCTACTGATTTCTTTCCATTTATATTTTCTGTACTATAGATTTTTAATTTAAAAAAATATTAACACTTCTTTTGTGTGGTTTCAGAAGGAAAAATTAAAAATATATACACAGAAAATTCCTTAAGGCTTTTTAGCATTTCAAGCATTGAGGCCCCAATTCAGCAGTCCATCCCCATTCAGTGAAGTATTAAGTATTTATTTAACGGTAAGCACATGCTAAGTTTCATTGACTTCAATGGGACTTAAGCACATACCTAAACAAGTGCTTTGCCGAACAGGAATGTACTTAAGCAGATGCTTAAATGCTATGCTGAATTGGGGCCTGAAAGGGCAGAAGAACAGGCAGAAAATACTCTTTAAGTTCCTTTGGAGCTACACTGATATAAGATGCCCACCTTTAAATGCAAGATATAAGAATGGGCCCAAAGAGTCTAAACATTCAGTTACATATTTGCTCTTCTCCAGTCATATGCTTGACTGTTTGAAGATAATACAAGAGTTAACTATGTGAATTTATTTGCAAAAAGTCTTACCTTGTAATCTGTGTTCTTGTATTGAAGTCAAGAGATCTCATTGAGCGTAAGACCTCTATACAACCCAAGTACTGCAGGAAGAAAGAAAAGTTATAAAGTATGTATTATATGCATTGCTGAGCTCTAGGAGAAGAAACAATTAATCAAGAAAAGTTATTGTGCAATCTTTGTTTTACATCTGATTTATCATTTGTAAGCTAGCTTTTCATAACTAGGTTCTCTGGGTCACAGGGTTCTACAAATACTGCATTTTATTTACAATTTAGGTATATGTCAACATATCTTTTTATGTCTAATCTCATTTTAACACACAGTACATAATGTACTGCTTAGTAGTTCATTCACATTCATATTCTTTATTAGGCTTGAAGATATTCAAAGAAATACAAATAATATCAATATAAAAAGGGGTTAAATTGAAAAATATGCCAAGATATTGTCATGTCTATCATCAATTTGTTATCAACAAATCCATATATTACGGGCCAGATGATCAAAAAGTCAGGCATACAATTGCATGTAACTACACCCCAAATCAGATATTTGAAAGAGTAAATGGTCAGTGAGAAAAACAATCGAGTATTTGCATGTGCAAACATCTGATCTGCACATGCAATTGCAATAAGTGGATGTGCACATTATCTGCCCTTCCCCAAACTCCTAACTATCTTATGGTCACAGATATGGGGTTCTTTATAAAGCAGATGGTGTGAAAAGCAACATGTTAATCTTTTTATCAACTGCTTGTAAATTCAGTTCAGAAAACCCCTGAAAAGACATATGGACAGACGTCTATCTATTGTTCTAAAGATAATCCTGCAAAATTAGAAATATCTTACTCAAGCAGATTCTAGCACATGGCTGTCTGAATACAATCTGCCTTGCTGTCGTGTTAAAAAAAAAAATCTAACTGTAAAAATAAAACGGGTGGAATTCGAAAATGTTCTAGGAAATGGTCATGCCAAGCAGATCACTTTCAGACAAATGCAAAAAAGCATTATTGACCTGATTGAAAGCAAAGCATGTAATTGTACATGAAAACTCTCCAAATTATTATAAGCCCACATCAGGTATTTCCATGTGCAAGTGACCAGTTAGACATAGATGCTCTGATTCTCCATTAGGTCCAACCTCTATCCCACCAGTGGAAGACTGAGCATGACAGAACTCAGTTCTACCACAACTCCACCTTGCCCAACACCAATATGCCTCTTCCTCCCGCTTACGCTAGGAGTGCAAAGGGAGCAGGGGTGGAAGATGGCTATACATTCCCCCTACGCAGCGGGAATTATCCACTGCAAATCTCTGGCCAGTTTAAAGCTACTTTGCAGAAGCAGTAAAGTGGCCTTAGCAGACTGGAGAATGCACTTCTATAATTAGTTATTTGTGTGAACAAATACCTCCTCAGCACATGGACATTAGGTGCACGATTATCCACCGGACTTTTTGAAAATCAAGCCATACAAAATACATAGTTAAAGAGAGAGATCTATAGATAACAGGCCTGATCCTTCGCTCTAGTACATTGTTTTTACACCAGTGTAACTCCAATGAAGTCAACTGAGGTATGCTGGTGTTAAACCGGTAACAAAGTAGAGAATTAGACCAGCATTCTTTGGAATAATGGATAGATGGGTGTCCCAAAGTCTAATCAAGACATTTTTTTGTACTGAAGTTATGAATTTCTGATTAAATGATTATTATGTTGTAGGGCTGTCGATTAATCGCAGTTAACTCACACAATTAACTCAAAAACATTAATTGCAATTAAAAAAATTAATCACAATTAATCGCACTGTTAAACAGTAGAATATTTAATACATTTAAATTGGTATTTTTTGATGTTTTTCTACATTTTCAAATATATTGATTTCTGATACAACACAGAAAACAAAGTGTACAGTGCTCATTCTATATTATTATTTTTATTACAAATATTTGCACTGTAAAAATGATAAACAAAAGAAATAGTATTTTCCAATTCACCTCATACAAGTACTGTAGCCCAATCTCTGTATCATGGAAGCGTAACTTAAAAACACAGATTTTTTTTGTTACATAACTGCACTCAAAAACAAAACAATGTAAAACTTTAGAGCCTACAAGTCCACTCAGTCCTACTTCTTGTTCAGCCAATCACTAAGACATACAAAAGCATGCTTGCATCTGAAGAAGTGAGGTTCTTACCCACAAAAGCTTATGCTCCCAAAACTTCTGTTAGTCTTAAAGGTGCCACAGGACCCTCTGTTGCTTTTTACAGATTCAGACTAACACGGCTACCCCTCTGATACTAAGACATACAAGTTTGTTTACATTTATGGAAGATACTTCTGCTTGTTTCTTATTTACAATGTCACCTGAAAGTGAAAACAGGTGTTCGCATGGCACTTTTGTAGTAGGTGTAGCAAGGTATTTATGTGCCAGATATGCTAAACATTCGTATGCCCCTTCATGCTTTGGCCACCATTCCAGAGGACATGCTTCCATGCTGATGATGCTTGTTAAAAAAATAATGTGTTAATTAAATTTTTGACTGAACTCCTTGGGGGAGAATTATATGTCTCCTGCTCTGTTTTACCCACATTCTGCCATTTATTTCATGTTATAGCAGTCTCGGATGATGGCCCAGCACATGTTCATTTTAAGAACACTTTCATAGCAGATTTGACA